CACGGATCGAAGAGGCTCAATATCTGGTGTCACGATGAATAATCACATATCAACGCAAGTTGATTAATGGGTTGACTACGTCTGGTTAGTTTTAGTAGCTGTGTTTTGACCAACTCAAAACCAAGAAAATACCCAGTTGTAATTTGATTATCTTAGCCTTCGTTGATGGATGCTGTCGAGTTATATACTGATGAACACTGTCGGCGTCAAGTATACTGTTTGCTTCACTGATTCCTCATCACTGAATAAGCAATTTGACATTAAAGTCATTAGTTTTCTATATACATTTTATCCACAATTTTTCATGTCACTAGCAAACAGGTTCAATTGATGTACACGTCTTACCATGACAGTGCGAAAGCTGCAACTCTTTCACGCCAGACAATTTAACTTTTGGCTTACAATCACATCCCTGATGGACGTGACGTTGAGTTTGGACTCCACAAAACGACGTGCTGATATATTATGATTTCAGAAGAGTAGTAGGGGGAGTTGAATAGTATAGGTAGAAATTCGTCACATCTAGACTCACTCAGACAGCCGCCACACGCCCAGAAAAGCATTGTACGCGCGTTTCATCCTTTCGGGAATCATCAGCAGTGCGCTTTCCATCGGACCCTTGGTAGGGCTCGAACACGCAACTCGACTGTTTCCAGTCCGTGGTTGAGACCACTGAGCTACGGGGACGGCAACGACCATCGTCAATAAGTTACTAGATGTGATATCGCGCCGCTCACTATCCACTGACTTACACGTTACTACCGTGCAAAGGACAGGGTAGCCTCCTCACCAAGCGACGAGCTTACCAAACTTAAGCCGCCAATTTCCTTATGGCATTGTAAGCAGTTCGGTCTGTGTACTGCTTACAGAAGAGTAGTAGGGAGAGTTGAATGAAACGCTCGTAGAGTGCTTTTCCGGGCGTGTGGCGGCTGTTTGAGTGAATCTAGATGTGACGAATTTCTATCTATATTATGATTGGCAAATTAACGCAATGTGCCTGTAGCCAGCGGGAGTGGTGGAGCTACACTTCTACACGGAGCCTAGTGGATTTGCCTAACACTAACAATCATGCAGCTGTATCAGGCGGACCACGTGTATTCAACGTGTGAAAAAGTTTGCCCCCGTTTATATTGCACCAGACCAACAGATAATTACCTTGCTATTCAGGTATGCAAATACATGCATATTGGGCTAGACAGTTGTACTTCGGAGAGATTGTTGAATCGGTAACAGTTCTGTTGGCTTTTAAACTGGCTTTGTTATTAGGATGGATACATGTATACTGGATAATAATTTCCATTACTGAATAAAGTAGCTGATTTTCCTTCTTTTGGCGCTTAGTATAAAACCACCTCGTGCGAAATATGAACACGAGAACTTGTGGTGGCTTGCGTAAATTCTATGAGCAATCTTAACATATGCGAACAATGTGAATGTGATAGTGGACCGATATGCACGAGGATAAGAAATAACCGGCGGCTGCAGTTACAAGCGGCACATTTGAACCAACAAAAGTGATCCGACTAAGGTGTCCACTGTGCTTTACCTGACTATTAATTATGATTTAGGTACGTATCCACCAGCGGAATGGATATCGCTACATACACTGAGCACAAAGCAGTCAGGCTTAAAGCTTCACTGCTTAAAACCAAGAAATGTGTGCTAAGTTCATCAAATTTGTCTTAGCTTATGCAATGCACCAACTGTAAAGCATATTTAAAGCCAGCACAGTATATGACCTAGGCCAAGTTTATAATGGCGTCGGAGGCTGGAAATGCCATACAACAACCTAGACATTTGTACAAATGTCCTCTCACAGATGCAGCTCATCGACACAATAGCCTAACCGCCAGTTGTTGCGTAACAAAATATATTGACTAGTTAAGCTAAGACAGTAAGCTAAGAATGCAAATAGGTCATCATTATTCACGTGGGTGAAATGCTGGTTGAGTTAAGAAGCCAGAACACTGCGCTGGGTCAATGAAAATACCCAAGGTGATAAGCTTTATCAACTAATTTTAAAAAGCACTCAACTTAATGTGGTGCATAGTTAAGGACGATAAAGACAGTGATACAACTACACTGCATTTACACTACTCTTGAGCTACATGAGCAGTTCTACATACATTGCCGTGAGTCGTGCGCTAAGTTCCATGCAATTTTTTTGTAAATTACACCCATGAAAATGCATACACGTGTTCCATGTGTCATTGCTAACTAAGCTGTTTATGCACGCTTAATTCGATTGTGGTTTTGGCTAACATGTGATCTTGCGAAGAATAGGTGCCCTCAATTTATCATTTTATCTCGCTTTGATGTGCTTCTACTATACAGCTCATCCACTTAATTTAGTGCACTATTTTGATAACCAAATCTTTCGTGCCATTTAAAAGTATGTGGCAGTTATGTCAAGACAATGGGTGGCAGTCGCCACGATTTTAACGCTTATCATCCTACCAAGTATAAGTCCATTCTACTCACAGTGATGAAAAGTAGTACGATAGAGAGAATGCTATACTTCTTATACTTATTTGTGACCAGAATGATATTTAGACCAAACGCACAAGCATAATGCGCGTCATTAGACATCTTAGCTCCGTTCGCTGTGCTGCGCACTGCTTCATCCGTGAACGAAATTTATGCTGTTTTCCTGTCTACACACTATCCCCAGTATGGACACACTGCAACAGGCATTTTCTCAGTTGGTCCCTGGAGAAAACGATCACCAACTAATTAACCGCTGAAAATTGCTTTGATTAATAGTTTACGCACCAAAATGACAATGAATAACAAACGCCGAACGTGAAAGAGTGATAAAGTATCTGTGAAAACATTTTACTCATGATGAATTGATCGGTTTGTAACAGGGCTACCTATTCATTCTCATTACAAGGAAGAGATCCGAGAACATCAAAGCCCCGTAGTGCAATTCTGAACAATTGCTTCAAACTTGCTACTTATCCCACATTCACTGCGTATTAAGCTGTCATCCGAACTGCAATTACAAGCACCATCTATCTAACCACCACTAATGGAAATTTCTGCTGAAAAACTAATGTCACAGAGAACTCAGCTTTCACAATGAAGTACAACGGAAGTGTGCACCTAAGATCGAGCCACTGATACAGTTGCGGTGTACATCAAACAGAAAGCGCATTTGTGCTAGCGAATATGGTAAAACAGTAACTACCTAAGAAACAATTGACATCAAGCTTATTTTGTTTGGCATAAATTCTTTCATCACATCCACATGGTTCTGGGTTCCGAGAAGCTCCTTTGTGTGTATGCAGATTCTCTAGATTTACTCAACAAATTAGTTGAAATTTGACTTTCGTGTGCTTTAAAATCTTGTGAATTGATTGCAACTACAGGAGAATGGCTAAACTGCGAGATATCAGATGTCTAGGTTGCACCAATACGTATACCTGCTCTCCGCAATACACAAGATAACAAAAGGCGGTGTGGTAGCTCCACATTCCGGTAGCGGCCACTAGTGCAAACTCTTACCTGATACGAAACGTGAAATCTGCCATTCTGATTGATGAAGCTTGCAGCTGATATGCATCAACCTTCTCATCGTGATCACTGCTGAAGCGAACGATAAACAAGAGCCACAGCACAATTTTGATCGCCTGTGATTTTACCTTATTTACCGTATAATCTCAAACCACTGCAAACAAAGAGTTCCATGCTCACGTACAGGGGGCAGTCTCCATTTGTCTGGCCTATGACTAAGCAGACTCACACACCAAGTTCTTGAAAGCATAAACGCTACTAATTGTGGACCTGATATTTAGTCACATTGAACCCAAGATGGAAGAAGCGACAGTTGACACTGGAGGGGTATCAGTGCTCTTTTGTACACCTGCTAGGCAGAAGTTCCATTGAAACAGAATATGGTAGCAGACTTCATTACACGGTAAAACACGTCATTTCGACTAATTGAAATGATCAACCGGAGTGTCTTAGATTAGGATGTACAATACATTCTTTTTGAATATATTTTCACTACCGAAACACCATTGTTGATGAATCAGAAGTTGGGACTATTCGTTTGAACGTAGGGTGATTCGAGGTGCAACGTTCATTACCTTATTCTAAGATTGACGTGAGTCAAAAATATCAGGTACTACTACATTCTTCGTTGTAACCGCTGGACATAAATAGTCCGTGAGAGCTAATTGACATACTAAAGGGTTTGACACAACGATTTACTTTAAATCATATTTATTATGAGCGTAGTTAAAGGACGTCGTACGTTGAAGAAACGTGTTCCACATGTGGAACGATCCAAATGTTCCCCTCTCCCAACACGGACTCCCCACGACCGGTTTCGTCCACATTGGATTAAGTAGATAGTCATAATCTAAGCTGAAAGTGGTATTCCGAGCCTAACGGTCAACGGTTGATGCCTTGATCAATATACCGTTGAGATCGGTGAACAACGCTTCAAACTAAACCAAAGTCTCAGTCCAGAATCCGCTACGAAATCTAACCACACGGTGGGTACACCAAACTCAACTTTGGATTTACTCTACATTTAACTTTTGGACCAACGCAGAGAAGCTGTGGATGTTCTGCAGTAATAACAAGCACTAATATTTAGTGCTTTTCTGGCCAACCAACACTTTAGAATGCTGCTGCTGTAAGCACCTTAGTTATCTGCTTTATTACAGACAATTTTAAGAGACCTTTTGTCTATGGCGTACATAGCTTTCTCAGCATTGATGATGCTAGCCAGAATGCGCCCGAAGTACTTGATTGAAAACCTGACGCTAAGTTATCAGCATTGCTTTAATAAATGTGACATTTGTAATATTTTAAAACAGGGTAGTAGCTTTAATTGACTAAGAAGGCAGACTTTCTGACTTGCTATGGAGGCCGTCTTTGGTGGGGCAATCATGTCTTCTCTAAATGGTTTGATGTCATCACGAAGGGCAGCCAAGTTTCCATCACTATTTGTCGTAGACTGCCATCCTGCTATTAACTAGGGATAATAGGACGGAAACAGTGTGTATTGATATGTTACGGGGTTGTCAAATTTAACATGTAGAGTGCTTAACGGGCTGAACGCTGGCACTCTTCTTCCTAAGCTCTAGAGATACGTCATCCCTGATCAGCAAATTTCTCGCACAATTCTGACTGGAAATAGTATTGCGTTATACATCGTCAGATCTCATCCAATTCAAATGCAGTTCACCGCAGTGTTCATCTTTGCGCCCTTACCTATACTTGATTTACATAAACTATTCCTCAAGCTACTGAATTCTGCTTACCTTGTATCGACGACAACGACATCGGGCTAGCGAGGGAAGACCCAGGTGAATGTAAGTGTTGAGTGGATATAAGTGTCGAGTGGATGTAAGTGTCAAGTGAGATATTTAGGACACCAGGTTGTTCAAACCTATAAGCTTGATGACCAAGATCTCCAGGATTGTTCGCCTTGAAAGATATTTAGCGTTCCGATCCATTAATATTCTGGTGTCCCACGGTAGTCAGAAATACCGTAAAAGAAAAGCGACCGAAACTTTAGTATTTCAACATTTGCCTTCAGGCGCCTCAACTCATCTACTTCCCCGCATCGGCTCTCTGTATGCGTATGTCATCCTCGAGAATACAAAGCTCAAGGCAGATAGCCAAAGCGGAAAGGGGATTACACTGGTTTTGAAAATCTACAGTATCAGGCAAAGATGCACTTCAAAGGGCTGCAAATGGTAGGAAGTTCCAGCAGACGACAATGACGTCTGCGTTGTTTTCCTATCATGATTCGCCAAAATTTTAAGCAACAACAAACATGCCAGCTTTTGTCCATTGAATTGCAGGATGACAACTACCTGAGATGCAACCGTCACAAGCCAACAGAATAATACAGCCGCTTGGATTTTCGTCAGAAAGTATTCTCGCTCATGACTGCTAGATTTGTAATCCCCTTCCTGGACCTGGTCTCCTCTCTCCCTTATCAGTAATCTTTGGAAACAATGTCAAATATGCGTAGGTCTCCTTCTTACACCTCCCGTAGCCCACGTGACCCATATGAATATAAAAGAAGCAGAACATGACAACCCACAAGGTTTCTGTAGGAAAACCAGAAGGGACATACTTGGACAATGACACCAAACCGAGCATAAATGATAAAGATGAATTAAGTTTTAGTCCACAAATTCAGTGTTGATGGCTGTTTACTG